AAAAAAAAAGATGGCTACAAAATTCCCTTTTATTCATGAAATTTAAGTATTAATAACCTTTTTTTCTTCTAATTTTTAATTTATTTAAATTTATTTCATTACATATGTATGTGAGCATATGTGTATATATATACATATATATGTAGTATTGGGGTTTGAACTCAAGAGTCTTTTACTTGCTAAGAAGGCATTCTACAACTTAAGCCACATCGCCAGCCCTTTTAGCTTTAATTATTTTTTTAAAATAGAAACTAGTGTTCGTCTCCAGGATGACCTGGACTACAATCCTCCTAGCTATGTTTACTGTGTAGTTGGGGCAACAGTCTGGACCACTGTGCCCAGACTGGTTGAGTTGGGGGTCTTGTGAATGTTTTGCTAAGGCTGCCCTCAATCCATGAGCCTTTCCGTCCCAGCTTTCCAGCAAATAAAGATTATAGATGTGAGCCACAATTTTTGTCTTGAAAAAATAAATCTCATTTTTAAACCCTTAATTTGGTGCTCATTTTGGACTAAAAATTGATAAGTTTTAAGGGAGCAATTAGACATCTATTTCAATCCTGAAACATTTTAGAGTCAGTAGAATTTCTATTACTTTTGCCTCTGCCATTTGCTAACCATAGGACCATGGAGAAATTACCTAACTCCATCTGATTTTTGTCATCTGAAAAATAGTGACAATAATACCTGCTATTGAGTAAGCAACGATAATCAATGCAAAGACTGTGTTCCTATTAAGTTCTGCTCATAATTTAGTATGTTCGTGTTGCTGAGCTTTGTTTGACAACTAAACACACAACTTGGACTTGATGTGGTAATTCACAACTTTAATTCAAGCTAGTCAGGAGGCAGCGATCACAACAGTAAGCCGTGGCCATCCTCAGGTAAAAACTCAAGCACCTAACTGAAAAATAACTAAAGCACAAAAGGGCTATGTTACAGTTACTTGTACTTCCCCTGAGTTTGAACCTGGTACCAAGAGAAAACAAAAGCAAAACATAAAAACAAAACCTTCTTTTTTATACATTTCACAAACTATTTTTTAGTGTTACTTGAGTTTGAACTTAGAATTTGGTGCTTGCAAGACAACCATTCCACCACTTGTGCCATGTCTCCAGACCTCATAAAAGATTTTTATTTTAATTAATACGTTTTTTTATTGTGAAAATACCATACAGAGGGGTTACAATTACATGAGCAAGGTAATGAGTACATTTTTTATCAAGCATTGTTGCCTCCAAAAGGTTTATAGTGACTTGCCACAGCTTAATACTTAATTAGCTATAATAGAGTTTAGACTTGCATAACACAAACCAGTTTAACGTGTGTGTGTGCGTGCGTGTGTGCGTGTGCGTGTGTGTGTGTGTGTGTGTGTGTGTGTGTATGTGCTGGCTCCTGAGCTTTTTTCACTTGAGGCTGGTACTCTACCCTGGAGCCACAGCTCTACTTCTGGTCTTTCTGGTGTTTAACAGCCACACTCAGATCTCAGCCTTCTAAGTAGCTACGATTAAAGGCATACCTGTAATCCTAGCTACTCAGGAGGAGGCTGAAATCTGCAGATGGCTGTTTGAAGCCAGCCCAGGTAGGAAAGTCTGTGTCTTATCTACAATTAATCAGCCCAGGTAGGAAAGTCTGTGTCTTATCTACAATTAATCACCAAAAGCCCAGAAGTAGAGCTGTGGCTCAAGTGGCAGAGTGCCAACCCAGTCCCTGAGTTTAGGACCAGCACCCAAAATAATAATAATAGTAATAATAATAATAATGCCAATCCACAATTACTAATTTTTTGTGACTGTGTATGAAGAAACATTTTAATACAAAAAGTTGAAAACTGTTCCCAGATATGACCATTATTTCACTATGGAAAAAAATTAAGACACTTTGAAACCTGATCAGTAAAATTACCCCATGAAAGCTCAGCATCTACTGATGCTGGAGTGCCAGGAAGAGGTTTCTGTATCCATATCGGTGGATATAACCCACATGGGCATACATACAGAAATGATCATTTTGGTCTTTGGCAACTATGATATAAAGAAATGTGCTCAAGCAGGTAGTTTGAGTCCTTCTGTGTTCCATGTAGAACTGTCTCAAACTGTGCCAATTAGGAATTTATGACCTTTCAGATTCACCTTAACTGCTAATTACTTGTTCTGTGGAAATGAATCTGTGCCCTTTAAACATTTTTTTTCCTTTGCTAGCTGGCACAGGGATACACTGTCAGGAAAGGGCATTGAGAAGAGAATTTGAAGGATCTCTTCTCTGTCCTGGGTTCTGGTGTGCTCACTTAGCAGGCTCCTGCTCTCCAGTGCCAACTCCTCTGGACCCCATAGCCACACCACCCACTGCTGCAGTTTTCTCAGCACTCCCTTCACTGCAGGAGAGTTTTGTATCACTATTTCTAGTGAGACACCACCCTGAACCTTTTATCAGCTCCTTAGAAGTGGGCTTCTGGGAAATTGTAGAGGACAGAGTTCCAGGAAGCTTTGGCTGCAGAGCTCCAGAGAAATTTTACCTTTTGATGAGCTCTAGCCTACTCCCATCAGCCCAAGCAAGACCTGTCCCTGGGTTCCAGAATAGTTCTACGGGCATGGACATTTCTTTCAAGCGCTATTTCTATAGTCTTTATATCTTACTAGTCATTCCCTTGTACCTCCAATCTCCTATAATAGTTTATATTACAGTCATTTATTTTACATTAAATTGCTATGTGGTTTCTCTCCTCTGATTGGGTCCAGGCAGATCCTGGAGCATAAGAAGGTAATAATAAGATTTCAGACAGATCCCCTGGAGGAGCCTGTGCAGGATGAAGTGGGCGGTTGTGAGACTGGAGGCGGAGTAACCAGATGGCATACCATTCAGGAAAGCGATGAGGAGCTCAATCAGTTTGTATACATTTCAGAAATGTAAAGGAATATCATTTATAGTCGATTAAATGCTGAGTTTATGACGTGTTTCTATAAAAATCTGGGCATGAAGCCCAGCTCTGAAATACAAACTGATTCTATAAAATTGTCTGTTTTATTTATACCTTCACTGGTTACATAATGTTCTGTAAGTTTTAAGACTTTCTGTTTGTTTTTCATTATAGTCCAAGAGGTTTTTCTAAATAATATAAATACTTTTATCTCTAGTTGAGGTTTGTGGTTTTATTTTTCATAAGTCAACCTTCCTGTATTATCTAATTTATGCTGGCTTACTTCTTCCAAATTATTTAATATGCTATGAAATCTAATCAACAAATACTAACTACCCCATTGAGTTTCATTTTCTGAAAATGTAAAGGCCATAAAGATGAATATTAAACCATCTTGACCCTGAGTCTTTTGAACACTGTATTTTTTCTTTTTTTTTATTGTGAAAATACCGTACAGAGGGGTTACAATTACATGGGCAAGGTAATGAGTACATTTCTTATCAAGCATTGTTGCCTCCTCCTTTGTTTGAACACTGTAATTTTTAAGTGACACTGAATTACTTTGAAATAACTGCCTAGTAACCTTCCATGCTTGCCTTATTCCCTAGGTATACCCCCTTAACTATGAGTTGGTACGCACAGAAAGCAACA